TGCACTGGTAATGTCTCCCCTCCCCCCCCCCCCCACCCCACCTTATGTAATCTTTCAACACAGGCATGTTCCCTTATTAGGCCAGTGTTGGTGAAGGTAAGCACTTCACACCTTTCAACAAATACAGGGCATGTGAAAGACAGACTAGTCGATAATCCGACGGTTGGTAAATAAAGCTGATCATCTGCCTAGTCAAATGTTTGTGCTTGAGATCAGAAGTAGAACGGATTAATCGGAAGAAACAGTGTTTGTTTGAGAGAGAAGAAAAAAAAAGCCATGGGCCGGTAAATGGGTAATCGATGGCATGAATCAGTTTTTTTTTTTTTTTGGCAGCAGAAATAAACTATTGTGATCTTGCACTGTGTTTAGTTTGGTCTCCATAGCCACCTTGCCATTTAGGGCTTGACAACGCCTCGGTTTGGTCCGCAACGTAAAGACGTGATCTGCATCGATTATTTGTTCTTTTTGTGGTTTGCAAAACCAGGCATTGCTTATTCTCGTTGGTCACGTTTTGCTGGATGTTAGCATTGTTATAATTAGCAGTTGTTTTGCCCCTAATCTGTTATTTGGGATTTCTGTTAATGTATGTTCTCCTATGACTGTTTATCATCGTGTACAGCAAGAAGACTGGTCAGTCACGGTTGGCAATCTCACACGACCACAGGTTTTTAATACGGCATGTGTTCATATCTCTAGTGTACCATGCCCACGACATTCATTTATTTATCCTCTCCACCACCAGTCCTATCATTTGATGAAACGTTTTAGTTTCTCTTTTCATGTCCCAGAATAGTTCTGCCCTTATGTCATTTATCTGATCTGTTTTACGTGCTGCATGGTTGGTCTCCGTCTGTGCTGTTCTTTGCCTTTTAAACAGAAACCGCATCTCTAGATGTCTACCATCCTGGAAGACCACCCAAACACACATTTCTTTCGAGGTTATTGTCGGAACTTTACTTTTTGTCAACCTTATCAACAGATTGTTTGTAGTAGTTCCTTGTAATGACGCAACTCTTGGCTAATAAAGCTTCAGGACAAACGAAGTCTGATTTGATCGCCTGAAATTGAATTTTATTACCGAACCCTCGCTTGGTACTGGGTCTTGGTTTAACTATTGATTGTCTGGGTAAAACGGAAGCACATGCTGCATTCACAACGCCCTCTCTCCCCTCCCCTCCCCCAGTCGGGCTGAATGTGGAATAGCCACTGTTGATAGTAATTTCCGCAGCAATCTACAAAAAACGAGCTTGGATACTAACCAGTCTACTTTAACAAGTAGACACACGCAAGAGTAATTGCCATGTCACTTAGATGAAATGGAGGAATGTTCCCGAATTTATTTTCAGTGTGCTGGTTTCTGCTGTTGACAGTCACCATTGTGCTACGCGCAGCACAGTTTGTGCTAGGTTTAAACTGTTTGAGTAAGTGATTAGGGGTGTAGATTAGTCCATTACAGAGAGTGCATGTTTTGCAGTCAAGTGCAAAGAAAACTTTTGCCTTGGTGAAACTGCATTAATGTGCAGAGGATACATCTCAAGCATTTATTGCAACTTACGCTGTTTGTGATTCACATTCTGTGTATTAAACATATCAACTAGTATTCGTATCTGCACGAATACATTATGTAGATTTTGGATTTGACTATTTTGTTCCCCTATGGTATTCACGAGAAATGGCCTGTCATTTCAGTCAACGTAATGTATCTCTAATTGCATTCTGTTCCAAATCTTTTTTTTTTTGATTCAGCAGTTAATGTATCTAATTTTACTTATGCTCAGTGGTACTGCTACCTGTCAAATTTTAAGGAGCGTACGCTATACTATCTCTAGTCTTCACACATACTCCTCTACTGGCATTGCAGATTTTTATTTATTATGCAGTCCCCTGGCGTTGTATACGAATATAATACAAATGGCAATTTTATTGTTTCCTAGCCCTTTGTAACTATTCACGCTTTTATATTTTCATATACACTATAGGGGGAGGGGAAGTTGAAAGCCTGCCACTGACTAGTTACGTTGATTTTCGGACCTTGGAATTGTTTTCAAACTGTCGCGTGCAGTGGAAAGGCGCGTAGCGCGAACGTAATTTATGTATTGTCCATATCTCTTATAGGGGAGGGGTAGTTTTAACCTGTTTATTCATAAGCCAGCGCCATTACACTTTAACAAATATCTCAATTCCTCTACAGGCTAACACGAAATTTATGCATGTGGCCTTAGATTACCCATGTCCTTATGCTCCTGTAATTTACAGTTGCACAGATGAAACTTTTATAAAGCGGTAAAAATTTTGACTGAAAAGTTAATATACAGTTAATTGACAAAAGCGTGGAGAGTGTTCGGAAAATCAGTTCACATGTGCAGGGGATACGTGGTGATTATTTTGATATTCTCAGCTCAGGGGGGACATGCTGAAGGTGACAGCTTCAAAAGTTCCAATAATTAAAGTTATGTGGCGTTTGCTTTGAATCAATCCCCCCCCCCCCCCCTCTCCATATATCGCGCAAGTAAGGGAAAATTCGGCAATACTTCTGGAACCAGCTATAGTAGACTGAATTGCTGTGTCGCTAAAATGTCACCAGCATGAAACGTTTGGAAAGCTCTGGATTAATGTGATAGTCTCGTCCCCTTTATGTCACTGAGTTCGCTTCGGGCAGTGGGGCGCATTGACTCATGCGCGCTTTTTTTGTTTCTTTCTCCAAAAGCGTCAGGTGGAAATGATTGTTAACGCTGGTCGTGGAATCGGGCCATCGGTTATCGATGCCTGGATGTTGGGGCACCATTAAAGTTAAATGTGGTCGTGTTTGCAGTACTCTCTGTGTGCATTATTGCAGGGCGAAGGCTTTTGTTTCTGCTGGGAGCTGTACACGCCCGCGGCAGGGCACCCCTTCCCTCCACTTCGTTCGATCGCATCATTGACGCCAGCCTCACTCACCTTATTGTCGATACTGTGTTGACTGTTTTTGTCAACGGGGAAAGTGGAAGGAGATAACAGAAGAGAACATGGAGCTGCTAGATAAATTAAAAAAAAATATTTTTGTTGGGTAAAAAACCTAACTGAATGGCGGTTCTTTACTTGTCGTTTCATCTGGTAGTAAACCGCTGCGCTTCTTCTCATTTGATGTAATGACTGGTAAGAGAGTTCCTGCTGCTCTTCCACTCCAACTTATATTACTAGCTCTAACACAACACGTCTAATAGAGTGGCTGGTATAGTGATCTGGCTTCCAGGCAGATAATGTGACTAGTAGATTTATCTGCTGATTTTTTTTTTAAAACCGTGTATAATACAGTGACTGGTAGTGACCATTGGCACTTTATATTGACTTGTAGAGTTGCAGTCCTCAATTCGCTCGACGTAACCACTATGGCTCTTTTCATTTTGCGTGCATATCTGTTTTCCATATGTGGCTTATTTTTATGCCGACTGTTGGTTCATCGTCTCTCAAGGCATCCCATTCTAAATTTATGCAGTAATTTCCAAGAAAATCTGCTTTTTTATAGTTCGAAAATAATATACTTGTTTACTTGCTTGCAACAAGAAGACAGCAATTATCTAGTAATATGACCGCCTGCAACCACCAGTGGGAGATTTACGTTTGCTGTTGGTTGACAAAAAAACAATGTCACAGGCAGTAGAAGACTTAAAAATACAGTAATATAAAACGGTTAGAAGGCTTAGTCTCACTTAGAAATTACCACTTGGTTATGCAGTAATAGCTTAGATGTCAGATATTTTTTTCTGAGGAGGTGATTTGAATAGCGTGCTAAAATGCGAATAAGTAATTCTTGGTACTCACTCCATTTGATCCTTTTCCTTTTATTAGATGCTTGTCTTTTTTGTACGTGGTGAAAGATAGTGTGGGCGGAGGCTTTTGTAGGTTTATAAGTTTACCGATGTATGCATCAGTAGATAGAATTTGAAAGTGTGTGTACACAACAAAGAACACTACTTCAGTTTAGATAGGAAGTAGGTTAGTGAGAGTTGTAGTTCTACATCTAAGTAATAAGTGGGTTGGTGTGTGAGCTACACCTGAATCTAGAGTGATGCCTGGTCATGTCTACCCTATCCTGGCTTAGAATTTAAAGTGGCTTTGTGGAATCTTAGTGGGTTTCTGTGTTTTAAAACGTTTTATAGAATATCAATGTTTAAAAAGAAATCCAATTTAAATATCTCTAAATTACTACTAATGTCTGACATGCTACATAGTATATAAATTCAATCAGTTGTATTTTGGGAACTACTCACTTTTCCTGGCCCTGGCTCCGCCCATATACATACATATGAATGACAGGCAGGACAATACACTGATTGGACGGTCAGACTGCATCTTAAGCTGTCTCTCTTGTGTATATGTGTTTTGTTGGTGGATACATGATAGCTGTCTAGGATTTTGCTTAGGGAATGAGTTTATTGCAGCGTTCACTGTCTTGTAGGACCTATGTTCAGTTTGTCGCCAATGGGGTTTGGGTTAGGCCCAGATGTAGATTTTTGGGGTTGTTAAACTCACTGACTTTCATTAATATAGAGGAGAGTGAGTTCTCGATTTTGACGCTCATTAAGCACAGCTACGACGACACCCCACTAACCTTTGCAGAAGTAGACTCGGCTGATCAAGTATCAATAATGAAAAGTTGCGGAGTGTGTAAACGGGCGGAACAGGGCCTCGGAAATGTGATGAGAGCCGTATTTTATAACCAAAGACAATCCTGTGATAGGTATAAATTAAGACCTGAAGATTTTTTATATATGCTATATACATATACAATTAGATGATCGTCTCTTTTTTTGTTGTTGTGTTGGTTAAATCTCAAAATAATATTCTGGTGGTTTTTTTAAAATAACCGGATTAATTAATGAGCCGGTGTTTTCTTCAGTTTACTTAAGATGAAAGCAAATCTTTCACATACTATAGCAGTCAGAGACATAATGATTTTCCCCCTTTATTTTATTTTGCAGATTTGAAAGAGCCCATTATTATCAAGAAACAATTTAATCATGTCTGACATGGAAGATGGTAAGTACAGTTGGTTATTTATTTTGTCCCATGGGTGATGTTTATACATGTTTGTTGGTGTGTCTCTCTAGATATTCTTTGTGTTTTAATATATCTTCTTTGTGTTTGTATATAGTGTATGCCTTGATTTATGCTTGTAACCGGTATGCATGTGTATTGCTAGGTTGTGTTTGTGTGTCCTTGTAATATTGTAAGCATTGGTTTATCCTTGCAACTTGTGTGTATGTGTATTGCTAGATTATCTTTCTCTGTATTTTACCAATGTGTAGATATATATATATATATATATATTATCTGTGTGTGTCTTCTCTTGTATTGTATGCGTTGTTTATCCTTGTAACATGTGAGTATTACTAGATTGTCTTTAAATATTGTTTGCTGTGTAATACTAGATTGTCTTTGAATATTGTTTGCTGTGCTTATCCAGGAAACTTTTGTGTATAGCTAGATTATCTTTGTATGTGTTTACCCTTGTACCTATAAATATATATATATAATCAGTATGTGTTCTGCTATGTTGTATGCGTTGTTTATCCTTGTAACTTGTGTGTGTATTACTAGATTGTCCTTGAGTGTTGTATGCTGTGTAACTAGTATATGTGTCACCTTTATATGTCCCTGTATTTTGTGTGATTATTAGTATTTTTTGTGCTTGTGCATCCCTGCAACACATGCTTGCAGCTTGACAACAGATAAATGCTGGGGATGATATATGTTTTTGTGCTACAGGCGCCAATTTCTTAAACACCAGGCCAATTTCTTAAACACCAGCGGTGCTTTTGCTTAGCTGTCCCCAGCATCAGTGTCAGTCACCCAGTATCAAAATGTTGACCTTGCTCATGTTTTCTGGTCCATCTACACACTTTCTTAGTCTAGACTAGATCAGAGGGGTGTCGTGTTTTACTGTTTTACTGTTTTCTTCTCTCATGGGATCTAGGTTTAGGCTGTGGGTAAAGGGGCATTGGTTTGAGCCAGTTCTAGATGTTCTGGGGTCGTTAAAAGCTGTATCCACGTGTAGTATAGTAAACGTGACATTGGCGCTGATGTAATCAGAGGCAAGTCAACGTGACACACCTCTGACGTCAAACAGTCTGAGAAAGCATGGATGAAAGGTCAGCCAGTGTGTAGATGGGTCGGGAAACGCGAACAGGACCGTTTCTGAGGACAACCGTTTGAGTAAAATCAGCTCTTTAAAATAATCGGGTGCATAAGTCTGGGGACTGTCCTGGAGAATCGGGGGCGAACGATTACCTTAAAAGCAAGAAAAAAAATTTAGCCAACAAAACAGTACGGTAGTTTGGATGCGAAAGTTTGTTCGTTCCTTTTTATTTCTTTCTGTCTCTTGTCTTCTATGAAAGCTAATCAAGGGTGATTTTTTTCCCTCACGGTTTAAGTAGATGTTCACAGAAATTTCGTTTTGTTGCATTCAAGACATAACTCAAGATGAATGCATTGGAAACTGGGACATTTTTACGCAGAAATTTTTGCTATCATGAAGTGTCTTTTCTACTAGGCAGTGCAACATCTTTCTTTACTACGTCCGTTTAGTCATTCTTCATCTTTTATCTTTTGGTGAAGCATGGGCCTCAGCTTACCATGTCTTTTTGACTAGATCACAACTTTAAATGCTGTTGTTTCCTACAGGATGAGGTATTAGTCAAATACCAACCTCTTTATTTGCGCTCTTACTGTGTGCAAGTTAGATATTATGTTATATAATATACACGATTCTTAGCTTCCCTTGCAAAGCCACCAGTAACAGACTGACGATCTGTTTCGTCCTTGCTCTGTAACTGTGATACTCCGTCTCTTGGTGCCATTTGAACGCCGTCAACCATGTTACATTTTCTACATTTATCTTAACTAGTTGCTGTCCCCTCCTCCTCCTCCTTTAAAAAGGGAAAATCGGATAATGTGGACCGAGGATGTCATTGTTCCCCTGTGAAATCCCCGAGTGCTTGCTCGCAGCATAATGTAAACGAACTCATAATAGATTGTTACGGCAGTGTGTACAGACACACAATTAATAAGTGCTCTGATTGCGGATTGCTTTTTTTTTCGCTTCGTTTCGAATAGTTTCCTCAACTTTTCTTCTATCGTTCAATAAACCCCACCCTTTCCTCGTTTGTCTTAATTTTTCAATTTCATTATCTCTCTCTCTCTTTCTTTCTCTCTCTCTCTCTCTCTCTCTCTCTCTCTCTCTCTCTCTCTCTCTCTCTCTCTCTCTCTCTCTCTCTCTCTCTCTCTCTCTCTCTCTCTCTCTCTCTCTCTCATTCTCTCTCCACCACCTGTTTTTCCCCTCTTTCTTGCGGAAATGTTTGTTAAGTGTATGGCCCATTGGTATCTGGGAATTTTTACAGTAAAGTCCTGATCTCTGTTCTATTATTGTTGTTCTATGTGTTAACAGCAACTTGGTTCCCACAAGTTTATTATCACTAAATTGATTCTCCATTTCTGGTTCGATGTACCCCCCCCCCCTTTCCCAACCAATTCTTCGTGTGTTTAGGTGTTTCCCCCACTTATCTTTTGATCTTAGGCACATACACATGTTGAAGTGTTTATATTTTTAGCTTCATCGTGTGCAGGTGTAGTCGAGGTTAAATCGCTTGATAGCAAGCAGGTTAGCTCCACACTCCAGCAGTGGCATGATTATATTTATGGTAAATTTCTACCCGCCGAGTCGACCTGGCATATCACAAACCGGATAGTTGGTGTAGCTGCAGAAAGAACGGCGGGGCGAGAGACGTTTACTAACTTCTGTTGTAATGGTCAGACACTTCATACCATACCAGTTGTATACAACATTGATGCTAAATTCACTTTTTTTTCTGGGGAAAAGAAGGGGACAGGCGGTTTTGGTTCTGCCCATATTAAATTTTTTTTCAGTTCTTCTAAATGAGTTTACTGACAGTATTACAATTGTCTTTTACAAAATCAAGTTTCGCCTTCTTGTACTCTTGTTGTTACTGAATTTCTCCAGCGGACTTTCCATCACCACCACAGGCATTCAGTCCATCTGCCTTGCGGCTTTCTCTTTTCCCATAATTTTTAAAGTTGTTATATAAGTGCAAGTCTGGTAACGTTTTTACTGTAGGCGGATGTCCATATGCATTTGTCATCTCAGAACCTACTATCAGCTCCCTTTATTCTCACCTTTCAACTGGCTTTTCTCGGGCGCCAAGAGCAAAATTACAGGTTTAAAAAATATATGACCCAGTTTCAAATTCACACAAAAACAAGTCTCTGACGTTATGGTTTGAATGGAAAAGGCGAAATGCAGATACACAAAAAAGAGACATCCCCTTGCCGCCTAGGACTGCAAAGTACCAGAATAGTATTTGCTACTTTGTAGATCTGTTTTTCGTGTATCCTTGTTGTAACGTGTGAGTTGGTATTGGCAATCTGGAGTTTGAGAAGTGTATTCTTATTTGTTCCTTCTTGGTCGTTAAATTATTTGCGGTTGATTTGCTTTTTTGTATGTTGTAACTGCATTGTAGACGAACACATCCGATTTCAGTAAAACCCTAGTACTTTTACGACACGCTTTGTAATTGGCAGTGGGTCTGCATCCCCCGCCCTAGCCAAAAAACACCGGGAGGACTGACATCCGGTTTTGGTGACCTCGGATATTGGAGGGTTAACTTTAGGCAGTCAAACGCCAGCCCAGAAACTTAACGTTTGAAGCTTTAGAGCAGTGGTTCTCTTGTCGAACGACCCTTTCACAGGGGTCGCCTAAGACCATCAGAAAACACATATTTATTGATGTTTTTGAGGAAAATAATTGTTTCGGGTTCGCCACGACAGAAAACTGTATTATAGGGTTGCGACATTAGAAAGGTTGAGAGCCAGTGCATAAGGGTCTTGTTTTCGGATTATTAAATACGTATCGAGGTTCCGAATAAGTGCTTTTAAGTTTAGGTTTAAACATACCAAAGAACAATATGGCACAAGGGTAGTAACCCATAAGTACTCCGTTCTGCTTCTAACCCAAGCTGCCAGAGTCTGCAGAATCTCAGCTCAGTGTAAGAACTCTATAGCACTGGCGAGGATCCTCCAAATTGTTGTGCCTCTTACTACCTAATTTATTTATTTATACCCCGTTTTTCCGATCTCCCTCCCCCACCCAGATCATAAATAATCTGTTGTAACTGAAATCCATCTCTTCTTTCGTTTTTCTTTACTTTACATTTCTGGGTGTAGTCCTGTTTCAGAGTCCCGCGTACACATCCGTTTTACAGATCTAAGCTGTCTGGATGGACTCGGGCAGATATACTCCGACTTCAAAGGAAAGATCCAGCTAACATGCGGGATTGATTCTACTTCGTGGAACCAGTGGATTTAAAAAACATAGCATCAGAGAAGACTTCCCTTTCACGCCCACTGGCACAATGACAGGAAGGAGTGGCCTGACTTTGAAGATAGGGTAATTAAGCCAGAGAGCTGGTGCACATACCAGAACCTTAGCCACGAAAGTGGCACAAATGAACCAGACCACATTTATAAACCGGGAAACTTAGCAGCTTCGGCTAGCTAACAGGCATGTTACAACACATGGTTGAGATTTTGTTTAAACAGAACGGAAGCACACCTAGACAAACGGGCATTTAACATCTTGACCTGAAATATAATAAGTATTTTCAGAACGGTAGGCACAATATAAAAATGGTCGTGGCACTGGAAAAGTGAACTATTTTGCCATTGGGCCTCATCACAAAAGAAAGAAATTTAGTGCTTCTTAGTCTTGGTATCAAACTGGTGAAAACAATGAATGCTGTATAAGGTCGAAACTCACAGAACGTTAAAATGACCAGCTTGCCATAGACTCGTCGCTTATCACTGTGTTCCTAGTATTTCGTTCTTCAAATATTTAAAAGCAAATTCCCACGAGACCTATCTCATCCTTTCTAGAATTTATTTTAAAAGCTCAGTACAGGCAGACGATAGTCAGGCGCGCCGACACAAAGAAAATGTGGGAGAGGCTTCTCGCCATATAAATGCTA